AGAGCGATACAGTTTTATTTGGAAACCTCGATGTGTCCGATTTCAGTGTGCCATCCAAAGACCTACAAACCTCCAGAGAGAGCAGTTAGTTGCTAATAAGGGCTCTCATAATTTCCGTCAAGCAGTAGTTTCACAGGTGGGCATCCATCTTGCTCCCTTCCTGGAAATCAAACTACATAATTTATTATTTTGTGTTATGTTCCTTAAAATAATATTGTACCTTTCTTCATTTCAGGGGAATGAAATGGTGTTTTATCGATTCCTTAAACTAGAAAGGTCATAGTGTGTTGCAGATATTTCCAGAGTATTTCTGGGGATTGAAAGTGATAGAACTATGTATAAGGGCTTGAAACATTCCCAACTATTTTATTGCTTGTGTTAGATGAGATAGAAAGGAAGTGACCTACCTGTCAACTTGAGATGTATATTATATACATTCAAATATAAGAAGTCTTCTAAAAAAATGTATTGGCAGCTTTCCTTATGTTTGAGTTATAGCTACCTGAAAACTTTTGTTCCTATGCATAAAGATGTCTTTGGTGGACTTGGGAAAGAGGTTGCTAGAGGCAGCAAGAAAAGGCCAAGATGATGAAGTGAGAACATTGATGGCAAACGGCGCCCCATTCACCACAGACTGGGTAAGCTTAGAGGAAAGGTCTCTTAATTATTTCCAATGTATGCTTTACCAACCTTTTTCTTAAAGGCTAACAGACTTTATTGGTTTTTCTTCACTCCCTTTCTACCTCATATCCCTTACAAGAGTTTTATTTTCTTTGTCTTATCTGAATATGTGGTTTTCTTTTTCTTTTAGTTTTCCAAATTGAGAGTCTCCTGTGGATATATAGGTGATAATTGTAAGGTATTATATACTTGTGATTTTCTATAATTTTTTAAGGGTATTTTCTAAAGGTTTAACTGTCTCTGGAGTGTACTTGCATTATAGACTTCTATAATTAGGTAGAAATTAAAATCAATATAATAAGAATGAATTTCTAGACTAATAAACTCCTTGTTTCCTTTTCTGTAATATGCCCTGGTTGATAAGAAATCGTCTAGGCTGAGCGTGGTGGCTCACACCTGTAATCCCAGCACTTTGGGAGTCCAAGGCAGGCAGATCACCTGAGGTCAGGAGTTCGAGACCAGCCTGCTAACATGGTGAAACCCCATTTCTACTAAAAATACAAAAAATTAGCCAGGCATGGTGGTGCATGCCTGTAATCCCAGCTACTTGGGAGGCTGAGGCAGGAGAAACGCATGAACTCGGGAGGTAGAGGTTGCAGTGGGCCGAGATTGCGCCATTGCACTCCAGCTTGGAAACTCCATCTCCAAAAAAAAAAAAAAAAAGTCATCTAGCTGTTCTGTTTCCTTTACCACTGTTAAAAAACATTAAAGGCTGGGCGCCGTGGCTCATGCCTGTAATCCCAGCACTTTGGGAGGCCGAGGCGGGTGGATCACGAGGTCAGGAGATCCAGACCATCCTGGCTAACAGGGTGAAACCCCGTCTCTACTAAAAATACAAAAAAATTAGCCATGCGTCATGGCAGGCGCCTGTAGTCCCAGCTATTCGGGAGGGTGAGGCAGGAGAACGGCTTGAACCTGGGAGGCGGAGGTGCAGTGAGCCAAGATCGCGCCACTGCACTCCAGCCTGGGAGACAGCGAGACTCCCTCTCAAAAAAAAACAAAAACAAACAAACAAACAAAACATAAAGAGGAAGGTGTAATTTAGCCTCAACCATCTTGGAGACTAAAGAGCTTTAGAAGAAACAGGTCCGGGTTATAATGTGGGCTTTCTTAGCAGTCACAGATTTTGTATGCATTGCCTAATTTTAACAATTTCAATGAATGAATGACCTCTATTCTGGAGTGATTGAGAGGCCAACAGATTCTTAGCACTTCACAAAAAGAAAGAAAAGGAAACCCATGATATTAGCATTTCTATAAATAGACCTGGAGAGAACAATGTGAATTAAATTCAGTCAGGCAGAGAGGCTGAAAATATGAAAAAGCAAAGAATAAACTAAACAGGCTTAAAATAAAGAGCGTAACAAAAAGAAGGGAATAGATCTCTGGCCAACGTGGATGATGATGGATAACTCTTACAAGATTTACACTGGGGGCCGGGCGCGGTGGCTCAAGCCTGTAATCCCAGCACTTTGGGAGGCCGAGACGGGCGGATCACGAGGTCAGGAGATCGAGACCATCCTGGCTAACACGGTGAAACTCCATCTCTACTAAAAAATACAAAAAACTAGCCGGGCGAGGTGGCGGGCGCCTGTAGTCCCAGCTACTCGGGAGGCTGAGGCAGGAGAATGGCGTGAACCCGGGAGGCGGAGCTTTCAGTGAACTGAGATCTGGCCACAGCACTCCAGCCTGGGCGACAGAACGAGACTCAGTCTCAAAAAAAAAAAAAAAAGATTTACATTGGGATGACAGACTTACTTATTGCTGTTGATACATCATTGCTAAATTTTTATTGCCTCTTCATCTCATCATCATTCGTTTTGCCCTGCTTTACTGTGGCAAAAATCTTTTCTTCCAATCAGTCAGATTTGTACCTCAGATTCCACATGTAACTTTCTAGTGTCTACCCTTTTTCTTTTTTAAAATTTACTTTATTTATTTATTATGGGATAGGTCTCTCTATGTTGCCCAGGCTGGTCTTGATCTCTTGGGCTCAAGCAGTCCTCCTGTCTTGACCTCCCAAAGTGCTGGAATTGCAGGCATGAGCCACCACACCTACCCTGATCCTTTTTTTTTTTTTTTAACTTTCTAAATGCTGTGTAAAGTCACGTCCTTTAGGGAACCTTACTTGATAAATCCACCTGACATAAAGCCAGTATGCTTAGCACTTAATCAACTGGTGGTCTATTTATTTGTCCATTAGCATGTTAATTTTTTTTTTTTGAGACGGAGTTTCCCTCTGTCGCCCAGGCTGGAGTGCAGTGGCACAATCTCAGCTCACTGCAACCTCCGCCTCCCAGGTTCAAAGCAATTCTCCCTGTCTCAGCCTCCTGAGTAGCTGGGATTACAGGTGCCCACCACCACGCCTGGCTAACTTTTTTTGTATTTTTTAGTAGAGACGGGGTTTCACCATGTTGGCCAGGCGGGTCTTGAACTCCTGACCTCAGGTGATCGGCCCACCTTGGCCTCCCAAAGTGCTGGGATTACAGGTGTGAGCCAGTGCACCCGGCCCCTGGCCTTTAATTTGTAAATTTAACCATTTTTTCAGTTTTATCTGCCCAACCAGATTCTCTCTTGAAGGACAAGCACCATACCTTGTTCATTTGTATCTCTCCAGTAATGATCTAGGACTCTGCACACAGTGGTTATTCAATGAGTATTATTTTTCCACAGCTTGGAACATCACCCCTCCACCTTGCAGCTCAGTATGGTCATTATTCCACAGCAGAAGTACTCCTTCGAGCAGGTGTTAGCAGGGATGCCCGGACTAAAGTAGACAGGACCCCCTTGCACATGGCTGCTGCGGATGGACATGTACACATCGTGGAACTGCTTGTTCGGGTAAAGCAAGAATAGTGGCAAGGTTATGTTGTAAAAAAGACATCCAGTTTCCTGTTTTCTTAAATGGGTACTAGGAAATGACTTGGGAAGGATTAAGTTTAGGACAGTTTATAGCATTAAGTTGCATCTGCAAGACACTTCATGGCAGGCCAGGTGCCTGTAATCCCAGCACTTTGGGAGGCCGAGACGGGTGGATCACAAGGTCGGGAGTTCGAGACTGGCCAGACCAACATGGTGAAACCCCATTGCTACTAAAAAAAAAACAAAAAAATTTAGCAGGACATGGTGGCGCGTGACTGTAATCCCAGCTACTCAGGAAGCTGAGGCAAGAGAATCACTTGAACCCAGGAGGTGGAGGTGTGGTGAGCCAAGATTGCGCCACTGCACTCCAGTCTGGATGACAGAGCAAGAATCTGTCTCAAAAAAAAAAAAAAAAAAAA